AATTCAAATCCTGCAGAAACCAGGAGTTGAACATTTTGCCGTCTGGCCCCGGCAATTGAGACACAAACACCCAAGGTTTCCGCATGTGTCCGCAACACACCAGGGGCGCAATCCAGCAAAACCATGGATCAGAGTCTAACACCAGCAACTCCCACCATTCCAGGCTCGCATGCCAGTTCTTTGGCGTTCAAGAACGATGTCATTTTTTGGCGTCTGGCTGTGCCCCTGCCCCCCTGCCCCCCTCCACCAATATCAGCCTTCCACATCCAAAGTGTCGAAAGCTGCACGGATTTCGCTTTCACGCTCCTGAGCCCCGACATGCCCGGAACCGCTAGTGCCCGATTGAAATTTCACATGTCCGACCTCAGCTTGATTCAACAATTGTCGGGCTATGGCGTGATGAAATTATGTTCTCCCTTCCGGGGAAATACTGCTCTCATCCATCAAATATGCCTTTATGAGAACAATCGTCACATATTTTAATCTGACGTGCTTCAGGTGATGTTGTCTACAAATCGGGGGTGAACATTCGCGCATGCTTGCATTTGCAACTCTTCACCTACAACGTTGTCTTAACATAATCCATAGTCGCACACATGACCGGCATTGTTCGACGTCCATATTATGTGATTGACTCCCCGAGCGATCGCACATGATCATGAAGGGATTTCACCAAGTCTTTCGCGTAATTCATGTAGTGCTGACCTTTCTTGGATTTCTGCATTCATTATTTTTGAGATTTGGCTCTTCTCTTTCGAGCCGCGCTGCGACAAGAAGTCAGGTGGCAGGTAAGGAAAATGGCAACTTCCATCACACAACTGCAGGACCTAATCCCTTCAGCGAAAGAAAAACCTCGAGCCAAGGCTCCCTTTCCAGCCGTGAGGTGGCGCGTTGGCGCCGGCGCCCTTTGTCCATGGCCAATGAACCAGTGCCCAAATTCCCAGAGGCATCAGCATGAGTAGGGGAAATTGTTCAGAGCCAGTATCCACCTTTTGGGAGACTAACTTCTGAAATGCTTCTGATATAGCGATGGGTGCTTGAGGTTCACGGCTGCAACGTGTCGTTCTTAGAATCCACAATGCAACAAAGAGTATTCCTTTTGCGCCCCCACTCTCACAAGGCTCCGCAGGCCCTCTTTCCGAAAATGGCATTGAGTCATCAACCACCACGTCATGCACAGGCAACAAGCCCCTATGGCGCAGCGGGGCTGCAGGCACTGTGCATCACTTCGCTATCATTGGCAGGATGATTTTGTTGAAACCCGCCAATGCTGACAGCTGAAGTCTGGGCGCTCTGCTGTCATGAAGGCTGTCCACTGCAGAGTAGCCAAGCATAGCCTTTGGAGTGCGCCACACGTCGAGAAATTGCATGGGCTGGTTGGCACAGCTCTGAGCGTCTGAGCGTGCTGCAGCCACCACCCCGCCACCTTGCCAAAGGTTCCGGGCTTCCAGGAGGGTTCTGGGCAAGTTCCGGGCTCTGGAGGCCGGGGATGCTCCTTGGGCTCTTTCCAATGTAAAATGAACAATTCTGGCGCGGGAATTGCTTTTGTCGCTCCATGAACTCAACATTCATTTGTTTTGTGCCCTCCAGCCATGCAGGATCTGCTTGGATGGCTCCGCTGACGTCATGTATGTGGGGTCTGCTTGTGGGAGTATCTTTTCCACAAGCGGAGGGAGAAAACACTTCCTGAACTTGTTATGGTTTGTTAGGGATTGCGCGGAAAATCTTAGTGTGCTGTTTGGCGATGGCTGATGTGCCAGCTCATGTAATGAGTGTCGCTGGTGGGCACTTGGCAAACTCCTTGTCAGTGGATCGGCTGCTTCTTGGAGACCTTTACCGGAGATTGTTGCTGCATTGGCGATGCAGACTGGAGATCTTGATTGCGATGGTCCGATTGGACCTATTCCGGGCTTACGCCCACAGTTGAATACCCTTCCCTTGAATTACCAGCCACCCGCCATCCAAGCCCCGCCTAGGGAGTCCAGGCCTGGACAGTTGGTGAGAGCCTCAAGCAGCGCTTGCCATAGGTGTTGAGAGAGAAAATGCGAATGATGTAAAATGGCAGTGGGTCAAACATGGGTACCCAACATGGACGGACTAAAACCTGCGGTCCCCTGGTAGCTTCATGTTCACTCACCCAATTGGGCCATCGGCAAGCAACTCTGGAAATGACAGGTTGAAGTTTGCCCACCCTGTGGTCTCATCGCGAGGCACGCACATCACCTCGTGCCACTGGCAGCAATGTCTTTGTGCTAGTGGTCTCGTGACAAATGCTGACGGTGGCCTGCGAAAATCGAAATGTTTGGATGTGGGTCGTAGGCTGGAATAGAGATACACCAACAACAAAACACAATGAAAACACATGCCAAAAACACCAAACAAGCAACCACAACCACCGCTGCTGGCAAAAAAGAAAAAACGTCGAGTGAACCGCCCGTTGACCAAGGCCTGGGCAGTGCCCAGTTGCGATGCCAGCGCCACAGCTGCCTCAAAAGTGAAATAAGGCCTTCTTCATGAGCTCAATCCCATGCGGTCCCAGACTGGTGATGTTCAGCGCTCCGAAGACCATCCCAAGTTCAAACGTCGTGAGCGGCAAACAACATATTCCTCACCCTTCGCCGCAAGTGCTTCCATTCCATCCATCGTTCTTACAGACGTTCTTTGCCTCTGACCTGATCTGGTTTGTTGAAGCTGTTCGTTATTGTCGCACTCGTGGAGGGTCGCGAGGGCCAGCAAGCTCAGATCTCTCCTGCGTCCCAACGGACCCTCACGTGTTAACAAAAAACAACCCCCCTCCCTGCAACAGAGTGTATCTGCAATGGAGCCACCTCACCTCTCCGCTGACTCCATTGAGGACGAGGCTGCCAGGGAGTCTGACCGATGATGCCAGGCCGTGGCCACCTCGCGCCATGTCTCGACAAATGTCGCTGCACGTCAGCTTTCCCAAAGGTGGACCTGGGATGCCTCTCAGGGTGGCACAGCCAGATTTGACCTCAGGTGCACTGGCAGGCAAGCAGTTGCACGCAAGCTTGCGACCACAGCTATGTGGATGTGTGTGCTTTCTGCTTCTTCAAGCTGTTCCCCTCAGAGTTGCTGGAGCAAGGCCTTCGAATTACAAAACAAGAACCGTGGCAGGCTCAAGTTGCCTTGTGAACCTGGGTGCAGGCTCCTGCATGCAAAGTCTGAGAGCGCTGGTGCTGAGGCAGCTGCTGTACTTGCTCGCCAGCAGTGAGCGTTGCCCGATAAAGTGCCTGCAGCTGGCCCACACCAAGACCCAGGCGACCTCAAGCCCATGAGCAGGCAATACACACTAGTCAATCTTTGCCATCCTAGGCTGCCTCATGTTCTAGAATCCCACGCCAGGGCCAGTGCGGACCCAATCACGCATTGGACTTGTAAACAGGCACCCCGCCCAACCCCCCCTCTCCAGCATGCCTCCTTCAGCAGAACCGATGCCACGCCTGCAAGCGCTTTGGGCACGTTTGGAAGAGCGGCCACACGAGCTTTGGAGTTGAGACGTCCCGCTCCCCGTGCCTACAGCAATGGCCTGTTGTCGTACCCGCCGCTCCAAGCCTCAATAGATTCTGCTCACTCCAATTGGGATTTGTCGGAACCTCCTGGACACCCTATGGTGGGGATTCAAGTCCACCAACCAATGAGGGCGTTTCCTATTTAAATTCATGGCCGAATGAGCCTAGAGATTGGCTGGATGAAGCGTTGCGCCTCAGAACGACGCCTCATGAGCCAATCCTTTGCTGCGAAGCGTGTCAAAATTACATGGCGGAGGCCAAAGTGCGTCACCAACTGGTTGCTACTTGGGGAGGCCATGCAAACCATCACAAGGAGCTGTGTTGCGAGAAAAGAGCATGGCAGAAGCCTAGCAACCATCACGCACCACGCCATGTCAAAAATCAACAGTATCCTCAAACCTCTTCTTGATCTTCTTGATGACTGCAGCTTGGGTCTCTCATTTCACCTGTGAACGGTGACGCCTTTTGCAGTGAGGTTCGCCCCTGATTTCAGAGGAGTAGTGGTTTTTATTCCCTTTAAATTTGCATTGACGTATCAAGCCCTTCCGCGAAACCTTCCGCGAAGCTTCTGCAGTGTGAAGGGTACCTTCCACGATCATGTTTGTAAAAATGTGTATACGTGCTTCCGCGGGCCTTCCCCAGGCAAGTTGCTTCTGGCAACTGATGAAGGAGCGTCCGCGAGGGAATTCGTGTGCACGGTTTGCTAGGAAACGTGCTTGGCAGCAACCACCCAAATGAACTCAAACGACTATGTGGTAATCAATAAGGTCCCTTCCGCGAGCTTCCGCGGGAAGAAAAACCATCCGCAAACCTTCCACAATCCTTCCGCGGCTGCAGTGCGGCGCTACCTTTTTTGTTGACATGTCAACATCTATACATGTTTGCTCGAGCGGAGAAAAACCAACGCCGCTCAGATGTTCTCTTTTGAACCTCTTCTTTTGACCTCGAAGAATTGACCCCGAAGGCTTCTCTCAAAGATCAACTGGGCCTGGTGTCTTTTCCACTCTCGCTTCCATGGTGTCTGCGTCGGCCCTCTCACCTGCCAGAGGCGGGGGGCCAAGCACCTCTTCCCCACGTCTCCGCTTCGCACAAAAGGAGCAAACGGGATTCACGGATTGATTATGACTAATTAATCAGTTGAAGTAGTCTGCCTGGTCACCACCCCCCAGGCCCCCCCGATTTAACTTTGGAAATGTTAAGGTATCACAGGTTTCTGCAATGGCACACCAGAAATTGCGCTGACCTCTTCAGGGCTACCTATGCCAAGATTGGTGTGACTGAATTGGCAGGGCTATGTCTCGCATTGTTTTACATCTTTGCGCGGAAGCTTTGCGTTGATTGAGCAAACCAGAGGCCTCTATATACCCCGTGGTCACCGATTTCGGTGTATCCGCAGGAACCCATCATGCTGGCAAGATGATCTAGTGCAAGAAACGATGACAAAGTGCCTTGGGCCATTCTGCCATCAGCTCATGCAGCTTGGGGCGTTCCCCAAAGCACATGGGGCACTGGATAGCCAGCAAGGGCCTCAGCTTTGGAAGCCTCGCGCAAGCACCTGACCACATCGGCGTGTCCACGCTTGGCCGCCAAAGTCAGAGCGGTTGAGCGATCTTTCAATGCGTGGTGAATGTTGGCATCTGCCTGGAGTAACAACTGCACGACATCAAGGCGGCCAAAATCAGCCGCGAGCAACAGCGGGGTGGAGCCATTTGACATGCACCTTGCAAAAGGTGCGAGGCTGAAGCCGCGGCAGAGGTTCTAGCAACAGTTCATAAATTAGTTCTTCACCGAAACCACATGGTGGTCCAATTTCCCAAACGTGGCAACCCGCCTTCGAAGAAGCAACAAGTGCAAAGAAAGGCATACGCCATCTAAGGTGGCGTGCATACAAGTACATATGCGTACATGAGAGTGATACAAAGATACCACACACACACACCAAATTACAAGTATACATATGATGCACTATGTGTCTAGAATATTGTGCGAGTGTTTGCGTGTGTGTGTGTGTGTGCATACGGCATATGCAAGCGTACTTGCACGAATTGAATAGCCGAACCCTGCAAGTAGAGCAACACCATCACTCCCCGAGACCACCTCGTCCAGCTCGCAAACACCCTTACGGCCTCTCCAAATCCAGCGCAAACCTTGTAACTGCGATTTTAATTTTGGCCTTGCGCAAAATTTGACTTGTTGAGACATACGCATGCCCATACACCCCAAATCTACAATATGCTTACATGTACCTTACACGTGAACTGCAAATACATCTTCAAGAACAACAAATTCACATTGCATATGAGAGAGACATCATGTGTTGAAATCCGTCCATCCACATTGAAGCACTAAAGTCATGTGCTCAATGTATGGGTCGTGCTTGACATTAGCACCTTATACGAGCAAATGATGTGAATATGCACCAATATTCAAATGAACAGGTTTGCCCCCCTCGCCTATTTGTATCGGCCCGGGCATCCAGCAAGCACTGCACTGCCGCCGTCTGCCCGAATTGGCTTGCAATGCCCAGGGCAGTGAAGCCCAAGTCTGCGGTGGCGTCCTTGTCAATGCCAGCGGCAAAGAGGCATGGCCTTAGCCAGCGAGATCCGCCACACTCCTCGCGCAGCGCCCTGTCAAGTCACAAGCCCACATGAGCCCCGCCACTTATTTGCTGCATTGTTGAATTCGGGTGTTCCCACCCTGTTCTCCAACCCTGCCCCCGTTTGGACTCAACGAAATTGATTTTCCAACGTCGTCATGCTTTGGAGCATAACTCTACCACCTATATGTCGCGGCCCCTACTCGTTTTTGGGGCTGTTCATACCTCGTTTTTAATCTGATTTAGTATGTTACCCAAAAAATAGTATTGTGGCCCACTTTTCATTAATGACCCTCGCGTTTTGAAGCCAGAAAGCAACACCACAACCTCAAATCTTAAATGATGTCCAAGCACCACCCACCCACCCCACCAGCCTTCCGTTGCCACTAACTGTCCCGACTACACTGTTGCTGCACTCCACGAATTACTAGGAACAAAATGCCTCGATGTTTGTCAGATTCTTCAAGCTTTCGCACCACACTTCCCGCACCAAGCAGTTTGCAAACCTACACCGTGACCAAAGAAGCTTTGGGAGCCAATGCCCTGTCGGTTTCTGAAGCTGCGTTAAAGCAAGTGGTGCAAAAAGCTGCACCAAATTACTGTAGCAGCACTACTCGCCTCCAGCTACGGGAAGGAGTCCTGTAGTTGGAGGGGAGTGGTGGTGCTACATGCGTGCAATTGAACATGGGCACGGCTTCCTTCACCAAGCGGCAGCCATGAGGTTTGGCCCCGAACGGCTGCCTGCAAAAGCAGCTCCTCTGCACCCTTCCGCCATCCTGCATCGCCAACTTGTAGAATGCACTGCAGCACTGCTGTGTGCCCTCCTTCTGCTGCAGCAATCAGGATGCGCCGGTCTGGGGAGACGTTGGCGGCATGCAGCAATGCATGGACAACTTCTGCATGGCCTTCGGAAGCGGCTGCGAAAAGCGGAGTGTCCCCATGAATGGTCGCTATGGAAGGGTCTGCGCCAGCATGCAGGAGAAGGCGAAGAACTTCCTCAGATCCTTGCTCAGCAGCTGCGAAGAGCGGGGTGCGGCCAGCAGAAGTGGCCTTGTTCATATCGGCCCTGGCTCCCAGCAAGCAGTGCACCACCTGCGTATGGCCCTCGAGGGAAGCTGCGAACAGGGGACTCCGGTTGCTCTGGTTGGCCTGATCCACCGGCGCTCCGGCCCCGAGCAAACATTGCCTCAGTTGTTCAGCGACCCTGGAGAAAAAATGGGAACCCTTTTTGGGGAACACAATGTTTTGTGGGGCAGCCACCAAAAGAAAAGGGAAAAAGGATGCCACTGAACAACTGAGTTGCACAACCTCCAAGTGGCCCCCCGCAGCCGCGATGAACAACGGGCTGCTGCAGCTGCCTGGCCGCGTCGCCTCCACTTCGGCACCTGCAAACGCGTGAAGCACGCGAAACAACTCACAAAACCGGAGGCGTTATGCAGAAAGGTTGGTTGCGCATCCTTGACGAAACAAGCAAGTAGGAAGAGCCGAAACGCAGGCACATGGACGTGCAACACTGCTTGTTTCAGGGCCTGCCATGTAATGTCCAAATGGGATTGAACATTGCACCCGTAATAAAGACAACTGGGGGGCCCAAAAGAATCAATAAATGCACCTGAAATAAAGACAAGCCCCTGCCCCCGCCCCCGCCCATGAAAAACAAAGTCCCCAGAAAAAGTCACAAACAAGTCACAAAAAAGAAGAGAGAAAGAGAGAACGGACAGGAAGGAGAGGAGAGATAGCCATTCCTGGCCCTTGGATCTTTGGCACCTTGCTCTTGGCACCTGCTTCTTTCCTCAACCACCAAAGGGGGTAGTACTTCAAGCCCCCAAATTTTAAGGTCAAGACTTTATTCCAGGGGCCCCTATAATAAAGTTTTGCTGCGTGGTCCCCCCTGAAAAATGCAACTTCCTAAATGCAGTTACCTCTTGGCTAACAACCTAGCCAACTTCACACACAATCCCAGCTGATGCTGATGCTGATGCTGGTGAAGCTTGTTGCTTTCCCCCCAAAATCCAAACTGCAGACCTTGCCCAAACTCAAGTTTTCTTACATGTCTCTTGTTTAAAAACTGCCCACCATCAAACCCACAAAGGGGTAGAACTTCAAGCCCCCAAAATTTAAGCCCAAGACTTCATTCCCGGGGCCCGTACAATAAAAGTCAAACGCAAACTCAGTTCCAAATCTGAAAAGGAAGCTCCAGCAATACTAACCCAAATGGAAACTCAAGTCTACCAATACTAAATCAAATGGAAACTCAGTTCCAGATCTCAAAAGGAAGCTCCAGCAATACGAAAGTTCCAAATCTCAAAAGGAAGCTCCAGCACTAAATCAAATGGAAACTCAAGTCTACCAATACTAAATCTAATGGAAACTCACCTCAAGATACTATTCCACATGCCCCCATCGTTGACGAAAAAAAACTCCCGTTTACAAATCCACATGGACATTACTAATTGTTTTATGGGATCCTCCGCCAGCACAAGGACTCCCACCAAATCCCCAAAACCGCGCCTGCTTCTAGCAGCAGCTGCGCTGCTGCCAAGTGGCCATTGGCGCTAGCCTTCCACAGCGCCGGCTTCCCGCGCTCGTCCCTGGCATTCCTGGAGTGGGACTGGCTCATGGGGCCGATCGGATCGCGCAGGTACCCCGTGGAGCACATTCTCTTCAATTTGCCAGGCGCCGAAAGAATTGGAGGGCATCAGAGCAACTCAGGCAAGGAAGGGCAGAAGGAGCGGTGACATGTTTCCTAAACAGGCGAGGGGCTATGATGGATTATACGTCTACGTACATATATACATATATATGTATACATAGTTGCGGATACAACAAACAGACACAACAGTTGTAAAGAACTAACAAGAGCATACCCAAATAGATCAAAACAACAATACACCAATAATTGGCAAATCAACCATCTTTTTTTCTTAATTTCTACGTGCCCACACACACACACACATATATATATATATATATATTTATTTATTTAAAAATGGTATGGGTCTTTTTCAATATAACGTTCCCGGCCCGGGAAGTTGTTGGTGGGGGTATGTTTCGGGGTCTGATTCGGGTTCGAGGAATGATTCGCGGGAAGAAACCGAATCCATGTAGGAGCAGTAGCAGGGGTATGCTTCGGGGCTTGATTTGGGGTATGATTCGCGGGGGCCCTACTTCCACCCTCTTCCAATCTTGTATACATATATATATATATATATGCGTACCTAAATATATATATATGGGATTGTATTTTTTTAGGGTGGCCGGGCAGGAAGGTTTGAGTACGGGGTATGATTCGCAGGTATGATTCGCGGGTATGATTCGGGGTATGATTCGGGGGTATGATTCGCGGAAGCAGCAGCAGCAGCAGTAGTAGTAGTAGTAGTAGTAGTAGTAGCAGTTCGCAGAAGTAGTTGTACTAGTAGTAATATTGTAGTAGTAACATCAGTAGTAGTAGTAGTAGTAGTAGTAGTAGTAGTAGTAGTAGTAGTAGTAGTACTAGTAGTAGTAGTAGTAGTAGTAACAATAGTCGTAGTAGTAGTAGTAGTAGTAGTAACAGTAGAAGCAGCGACTGTAGTGGCGCGGAAGCTTTGAAAAGACTTGGCGCTGGCCTTGGCAAGGCCAGTTCATTGCGCGGGTATGATTCGGGTATGATTCACGGGTATGATTCGGCTAGGTGCAAAACGGCACTGATTACAAACTCGTAGAAGCTGTGGTAGTAGTAGTAGTAGTAGCAGTAGTAGTGGTAGTCGTAGTAGAAGTTGCAGAAGTAGTGGTAGCAGCTGTAGCATAAGCAGAAGCGGCTGTAGTGGTGCGGACGCTGTGAAAAAGACTTAGCACTAGCCTTGGCAGGGGAAGCTCATTGTCCGGGCATGATTCG